CAATCTAATCCACTCCTCTTACAGTGCCACGGCCAATTCTTGCAGTGTTAATTGCAGTGTTGTCGGTTGACGTTGGTATCAACGAACACGTCTTCCGATCAAATTAAACATAACACACTAACTTTAATATCAATATCCCCTACTTTTTTGAAGAGTATGTATCATGATACCATTAAAATATCTTATCATCTGGCTATTACTTACTTTATCATACCCTTTTAAATAGTTTATCTTTATCACTTGATAAACTGGTAATAGAACTTAATAGAACAAATTGAAAGTGTCTATCATTATAATCGTACATATACACATTCATTTTATCAATCAAAATAGCCGGCTGTCCAACAGTAAAAACTAAACTACCAACAAAAATGAACTGAAAAAACAGGAAATCTGACCCTATTTTGTTGCAGTAGATCTGTATAATCATTTAATTCGATATCACAGACACTTTTCAACCACTTAAAAAATTTAACCTTTCTAACTGCCAATGATTAAATAAATAAATCAAATCGTACAAAAATACTGAATCTTTTATACAAACAAAAACTCTTTACATCCGAGTTGTCAACTTTTGAAAAATCTGCATATTAATGAATAAATCCACAAAAAATATATTTCTAGTTAAAAAATAAAATTAATACACCCAGCTATGGTAAATTTGTAAATAATTTGATAGCTACAAGCTGTGTTATGTAATAAGTATACCAACCTTGAACGAATCTCACTGAAAGCTGCGATCCTACAGTTGATAGTACACATCTTTAAACAAAGATAAAGACCACTTTCACCAAAAACCTGAGTTTATATTATTATATATCACAGAGAAATTTATCTGTTCAATAGCATGTAGATACAAAATACAGTTGCTGTCTTATATAAAACAGACAGTCCTTCCTGTGTCTATAACTCCAACAAAATCCTGTAGTATAATATGTGCAACAAAAGTTCATATCTCACAAAAAACCTGGAAGTGTTAAATTACAAATTACAGCCACTGTCTTCTGAAGGATCCATGTTGTTTACTTTAACTTATAAGCTGTTCATAAAATCTTGCACAAGACGAGAATAATGTCATTATGGAAGCAAAAGTTCACACATCCCTAAGGAAAGTGTTAAATCACAAATTACAGCCACTGTCATCTAAAGATGGATTTATCCTGTTCTTTTCATTTTCATCTAATTTGTTGAGAAAATCTTGCTGACTATACTAGTCCAGAATAACAGTTTAACTCTTTTAAAGGATGTTTTTAAAAAAGAAAATACAATTACTGCTTTGCATGTATTGAAGATAGATTCATCCTCTTTGTATTCTTGTACTATTTTACAAACTTCCACAAAATCTTACATAACACATGGTGCAAAATAAACACAATGACTGCTTGCAATACCCTTAATATCATCGGCTATCATCCAAGTCATACAATTCATTTGACAAAACATGTAAATCAGCTTTAGTTCTGGTTCGTCCCCTTGTTTCAATAAGTTTTTTTTAAAACTTCTAAATCTCCATACAAGTAGACAAAGTCAATGTAAAGCGACCTTTTTTTAGCTGATGTTTATCCTCTAGCGACAAGTGTTCTGTTGTGTAAGATGAAGTAGCTAGTGGCTGAATACATGTATATATGAGGCCTACAGTGGTTTGAACGTTTAATTTGTGTTCCTCAGGAAGTCTTCAATTATTATCTTAACATGTGTACAACTTTAAAGTCGTGTCATAGTTCAAACATGCTAGTCATTTAGAGTGTACGTTTGTAAACAAAATCTACCAAGCCTTTTCATGTGACACAATGCTTTTGATTAAAATTACGTACTAACTGCCTTGCATAGCTAATGTTAACAATTAATATTTATTCCTCAAAATTACTAATTAATATTCATTCTTCAAAATTACCAATTAAAATTAATTCCTCAAAATAACTTATTTTCCCAAATTCTGACATTTTTGTCAAATGAGAACAGAAAACAAATAACCATAACATTCATACTTTGATCTTCTAAAAATACTATCTAAATAACATCTTTTTAGTCCATATTTGCCTACAATTTAAATTCAAATGTCGGCGCTTTAAACATAGTCGCCTTGAACTGTTAGGAATTTGAAATAAACTGTGATCCACTCTTAAATTTTATTAAAATTAATTCAGTTTGGATCACAGCTGTTTTTAAAGAATGAAAGTGTGTATAATTTTAAATCAGAATGTATAAAATAGGTTACTAGGATAAAGACGACAGCCTAAATGTCAAATGATTTACATAGGAATACCACCGTAAGTCGAGTTAACTGGCTTTTAATACCAGATGAAAATTCAATTAAAGGGAAGCAATCGTGACATCCATTTTGATTTTCTTTTTTAATCATAGAAATTAAGTAAATGGAATGATGAGGGGTTTAACATCCTACTTGTCTGGATGAACTGCATGGGTTACTCTTATTTCAAATTCTAACTGTAGACGGGACCTCTTTTTTTTTGTTACATCTTAACAACTAGACACTAGTCTTTGTCAGGTCCTGTGTCCTGCACCCCTGAAAAGGGGAAACAATGTCAGTAAATCCTGAGGAACTTTCTTGACCAACACTAGGAGCAAACCCGAGACATGGCTAGCAAGCCAGGGCCATACTCACTGAGCCACTGCAGTTCCCTGTCATTTTTGGACTTCAGGAAATCTATAAATGCATCAATAAATTGTACATAAAATTATTACTTTCCTAATGCAATTATTTTCATGACAACACCAATCTACAGTGTGACAATATACTGCATAGTTCAGTTATCAATCACAGGTTAAATCGTATATGCTATAATGAATTCAAATATATTGTTTAAACAGAACATGTTAAAATCATGTACATCCCAAGTATAACTAGATTCTGATAAAGAGAGCAGAACTGAAGTGGCATATCCTAAAAAATTCTAAACTGCACTGTCTGCACTGCCAGTTTGTTATTGTTAAGAATAAATGTATATTGGCCGCTTTATGTCAAACATTTTTACCCATGAGAAGAGACCACCAACAAATATTAGGAAATCCACCACAACAGATGAGTCATTATCACATAAACTAAATTACATCATTAATCATTCACCTATTGTATATAAATGTCAATTTAATTTATGTTTAACTACTTCAATTAGCATGTAATAAAAGACTTATGCAAAACTAATGATATTTAAAAATGCTAATTGCTAATATTAAACACACATTTAAATAAATTCAAATTTACTAAAATAAGAAATAAAGAAATTGTTTAATATGTGAATATAATGCACAAGCTGAATCAGACATTAATGATTTCAAAATTATCATTTATAAAGCCTAAACATGCCAAAATAAAATTTAAATATTGAGTTTTGCCCATACACAATCAAAAGTACTTATAGTAAAAGTTTATATTGGATTCTGATTTTTTATTTATTTGAAAGCACTATGTTTATTTGTATGAGACAATATAATAATATTAAATCTATTTTTTCCACACAAGCAAGATCATTCTTCATGGAAGTTTATTTTATTTTTTAATACACAAATATGTGCATAATCACTTAAAAATGCATTATGTAAGATTTAGATAAAGAGCTGGCCGTTTTTGCCGTTTCAAAAATACATTACTTTATGAGCTAAGTTATGAGTGTTTGAAGGTTTGACAAGATGTAGTGTAGATGGTTCCTTATCGTAGCAATGGTACTTGACAATCAAGTTTAAGTCTCAGTTATCCATTTTATTGTTAAATTTCTAAATCTTGCAGGTGTTCTATTCCATTTATATCTCGACCATCCAATAACCTAGAGAGTTGATTATGGGCCTGTCATGTGAATAAATGTCTAAATAATAGTTAAAATAACATTTGAAGCCAAAATAAAGACCTGCAATGGACAAACTTAGTTCTTACATAATGCAGCTTTGACATCATTCTTGCAATTGCATTAAAATTAAACACATCTTGTATTTTGAGACATTACAATATGAATGATCTCGCTTGCTGTAGCTTTAATCATCTTTTTACCAGTAATTATCTCATGTCCTGGTAAGTAGTATAATTTGACTGTCTTGCTAAGTGTGTTAAATATAAATCACATGAAGTTACACTAATTTAACCCGATTAATTAAAATTCTATTCCACATCTACAAACACTTAAACTAATAAAGGGAAGTTCACATTCAGAATATCACAAGAGGCACTTAGTTCAACCAAATAATACATTAGAAAAACAAACTTTATATTTTTTATGTGAGAAGAAAGAATCATCACCATAGTAATTAAGCTACATCACCATATAGGAATGGATTTCCATGAACCGTATTTTAAGGTCAATTTTACCATTAATTCATAGATTCATTTCCAATGTTGGTGTGATGTAAAAGCGTACTATATTACAGCTATCTACAGCTTACTCTATCCTGCCAAACCCTTACACTTTTCAAATACAACATTCTCATATTCAAACACAAAGCAATTTAAAATGTCAACTGGGACAAAAATTGAAACATTCAGAAGACTTCAATACAATTCCTACCTTTTAAATCATTGATGCATCTGATTTTGATTGCTCTTAATGTTATCAAAAATAAATGAGAATGAGCCAGCCGTACACAGTCAAATATAGGTTAATTACACAACTAACAATCAAATATTTATGCAGAAGTGTTTTCATTGTTGGAGAATTAGGAAAATAACTGGAGTGGATTGGAGTAAATAACATTTAATGTAATAATCTGAACAGGGTTTGATAAAGGAAATCATTTTTTAGGATGTCTTATCTAATCGCCACATGTAGGAATAGGAATGTAGGCCTATGTCTAAGTTTAAATTCCCAGAAGAGATGATATCAACAGTGACATCTTTAACACTTGTTTATTATTTTAAAAGGCTGAAACAAAGAACTAATATGTCCAATAATTTAATTACAAATTGGTTTCTATTGAATATGAAAATAATAATACTATTTATGAAAATATTAACCTAGACTTCATAAATGATATTAAAATATCTGACTTACCGATCATTGTGTCTGGATCTTCGTTTGGAGCCAACATCAGATAAAGAAGCTGCTGATCCAGGGATAGATTGAGAATTATCCAGACCATTTTCATCATCTGATAAATCCTTCTTTAAAATACTCCTCACCGGACTTTCTTCAGTTCTGTTGTCAATTTTCTTTAAAACACCCCTTTCTGGTTCAGTCTTTTTAACCTCAAAGCTACTATCTTTTTTTAATATGCCTCTTCCAATGAGATTTGAATCTTCAGAATGCAATATAGTTCTTGGTTCAGACTCGGTTTCTCTGGAATCACGAGACCGTCTGTTTGATTCAGGACTCGGAGAATCACCATGTTTGAGAATACCTCTCGTTTCATCGGATGGCTTGCTTGTTTCAATGGTTTCTGCACGTTTTAGTATTCCCCTTGGTTCCTGATCTTTTCTCTCCTTTTCTATTTTTAAAATGCTTTTTACTTCGAGATCGGGATTTGACTGACGTATTTCTGTACATCTTAATATTCCAGTGTTCTTTTGAAGATCTCCATCAGACTTGGCATGACTTACTGTAACTAAAAACGTTGACAGAATGCTAAGGCTAGGTAGATGCTAAAACAGCCATCTTTTACAAGGGAGCTAATTCTATAATACCACTGAATAACCAAACAATTTATAATTTCAAGCAAGACACAAAAAGTAACAATAATTTGAAAACACAATGACTATAAAGTATGAAACTAAACATATTACAACAGTGTTTTCATATGAATAGCATGGAATTCCATCTTTTAACAATACTGGATTTTGGTCCTTATATTTACACACCGGTACATAGTAAGTGCAGCGGCAATACTATATACCGGAAAACACCGGAAAACAACATTTAATACTGAATACCGGAAAACACCCTAAATACCGGGAAACACCCTAAATACCGGAAAACACCCTAAATACCGGAAAACACCCTAAATAGGTAACCCGGAGCCTGGTCCTCTGTGTGCGGTTTTAGACCAAGTGAGCGCCGATGAAGGAAGGTCAAGGTCATTACGATGTTCGTTTTACAAATAGCCCCCCACCCCCCCCAAAAAAAATTTCCGATTTTTTTTCTCCAAAAATTTTGTCACAAAAAAAAATTGAATTTTTCCAAAAAATTGGTTTTACAAAAAAACATTCCGTAGAAAATAATTTTACAGAGAAAAATACTGGAAAAAATTTTTTTGGGAGAGAAATTTGGGAGAAGAAATTGTTAAAAAAATCTGAAAATAAATTTTTCTTTGACCGTAGGCGATCGCTCGCTTGTATGTTAATGAACTTATTTCATCAGCGCACCTGGTCCAAAACCACACACGAGGACCAAACTCCGGGTTACTAAATAGCTACCGGAAAACTTAGAAGAGTAAACTGTGTCTAAGATTTTTTTAGAGAGCGCGCCGCTCCGGGAGGGATCATCGTCAGGGTGGGACAGGGGTTGAATTGTCCAGTCACGTGACGAACATAGATCTTCCGTTCCTCAACCCATATTATTTCCACAGTCATTGTCATTAATCACAAATTACAGGATGATATACGAAAATGCAGGTTTACTTTGAAATAATGCAAATGATACTTTTCCATCTACTATCTTCAGATCAAAGGATGCAAGTTCTTACACAGTGCAGCATAATTTGTGCAACAGAAGACATCTCGAATATCGATTGTCTGAAAAAACATTTTCTCGGGGACATTTTTTTCCGAATACGCATTCGGTGTAAGTCTTCAACCACCAGGAAGTGGTTAACATAATAATGTTTTATTACGATAGTAGTGCATAAAACAAATTTGTTGCCTGAGGTTCTCGGGGGGAAAAGTAGCCTCATCAGCTAGAGTCCTCTATTTCACAAGTAAAAACAACAATTGCTTCCTTGAAAATTTATCGATCAACCCTTTTCACAGACGTCCAGCTTACCACTTTCCGTCAATGCAGTAAGATAGAATATCTAGTTTTCTCATGGACAATTGGGCGAAAGTTGGGGTTTTCTCAAGGAAAACTGGTCAACAAGTTGGGGAAAAAAGCTCGAAAAGTAATCCAGAAAAAAATCCTGTGTGCGGCCCTCACAATATGATGGAATATGTTGAATATTATTATGGTTCAAGTGATTATATTTGACCCTTCAACTCGAACTATTCAGAGATTTATTAACTCGCTTTTGATGATACTTGCTGTTTTATGATGTGATTTTTTGTTACCTAGGGAGGAGTTGGCCTAGTCGTGCCTTCCACTAATTCGTACCACCCTGATGCCAGTGTTACTGGTAAGAATCAGGAGACCGGTGCAACCGGCATATAATGGGACCCTCCGAGGGCAGTGTTTAATCTACTGAAATACTGAAACACTGAAATCTACTGAAATTTACTGAAATTTACTGAAAACTAAAATTAAAATACAAAATAAAATATGGTCAATGATGGATGTACACTGATTGCGTCTTTTAAAACATTCAAACATAATAGGCATCAACAAAATTTTGGAGAAAATAAATCGGAAATTTTTTTTTTTTTTTTTTGGGGGGGGGGGGCTATTTGTAAAACGAACATCGTAATGACCTTGACCTTCCTTCATCGGCGCTCACTTGGTCCAAAACCGCACACAGAGGACCTATTTAGGGTGTTTTCCGGCATTTAGGATGTTTTCCGGTATTTAGTGTTTTTCCGGTGTTTTCCGGTATTCAGTATAAAATGGTGTTTTCCGGTTGTTTTCTGGTGTTTTCCGGTTGTTTTCCAGTGTTTTCCAGTTGTTTTCCGGTGTTTTCCAGTATATAGTATGGCCCGAAGTGCAGGGCCACTGCACCACACAAAACAAAACTACAGACAAGATACAATACACAGAAATCACAAACAAACGTACATATCAGATTAAGTGAATGGATCTGGGGGCTAGCAATAAGCGTCCACTGCACTGTACAGTGACCTGAAGTGATACAGACTTCACTCAAAATTGAAAGACAATCAGGAATATAACCCAGAGAAAAAAAACATTGTGTAATACTAGTACAAGTCATGATCTAAAATTGGCAGTGATTTTTTTTCTGATGCAACATGTGTAATCCTATGGCGAAAACTTTTGCCTGGACAGTGGAGTTTTATGTTGGGTTCTTGCTGCATAATAGTCAAGGCTTTTTTTTACATAAATTCCAATATTTACATAGGTGATCCTCAGTTTTTGTCCCAACCAAATGACTGGACAATATTTTCCTTCTTGGCCTTTCAAGTGCTTACACCTGGCAAGTGAGACAGCAACATTTCTGACTTCTCTTTGAATTTTGATTTTCAATGGATTTTTACAGGTACTCGTATATGGAACCAAAAGACAAGATATTTACATATTTTTCTCATTAAGTTGGATTAAGTCCTGAAATTTTGTAGTTCCCTCTCAAATCATTAAATAGCTCAACTAATGCTGTTCCCTTCAAAGCGATATACCATTTCAATATTCAGTACTTACCTTTTTCTGATGCCATGGGTTCTTCTTCTGTAAAAGAAGCTCGTCGAGAACCAGGCTGTGATCCGGGTCTGGAATTTGGTCTAGAGTTAGAACGTGAACTTGGTTGAGACAATGTTGCCTCAGCATGACAGGCAGCTAATTCTCGTTGCGCCTTCAGTGATAATCCTTTTAGTATTTCAGGATCTGGTGGTTTCACTAAACTCATATGAAGAGGAGAGATTTTAGCTGCTTTTTCAACTTCTTCACTTGTTATCGGCTGAAAAAAAAATGTTTACGTTTTCAACTTTGACCAATGTGGATAGGATTAAATTCAAATAAAACAGGAATTTAATTTCTTATGAGAGTTTGATGAGAGAAAGCACTATAAAGACGTTCATTTTCAATTTTAAAAAAGAAGAGAGAGGGAGAAATGGGGTTTAACATCCACTCAATACAAACAAGGTCAAATGGTACAACTTTATTTCAAAAATTTGTCTTTAATGCCAACAGAGAAACCTCACAAGATTAGGTAGCAACGCTACTCATGTACAAGTGTGGGATTGAAACCACACCACTTGACTTACGATCTAAAGTGCATGCATTACAAATCCAGCCCCTCTCCACCCCAAAAAAAAATAATTAGTATTTTTTATGATGTTTTAACAATCATATACTATAACATATACTATTCAAAAAAAGTAGGGGATATTTGATTTTTAAGTGTTATTAAAGTCACCTAATGAAACTGACGAAGAAACAAATGACAAAATGAAATGAAGTTCACATTCATCGATTTATTCCAAATGATCGTTAGACTAAGTAAGGCACAGACTGACCATTATAAGGGTAAAATGATACCCGGGGTCAAACAGCAAAGTTACCACAGCATCACAACCAAGTCAGTAACGGGTAAATCCTCCTCTGTTTGCCAAACAAGCATTGATCCGACGTGGCATACTCCTAATGAGACGTCTAAGGTCATTTTGGTCCAGATTGTCCCATTCCTGTTGCAACGCAGCAGCAAGTTCTTGGACATTGGCAGGACATTGTTGACGTTGACGTAACCTCTGTCCAAGCATGTCCCAGACATGCTCGATGGGGGAGAGGTCGGGACTCAGTGCTGGCCAAGGTAATGTGGTGATGTTCTGTTGTTGGAGGTAACCTGTAACGATCCTGGCCCTGTGACATCTTGCGTTGTCATCCTGGAAGATGAAACGGCGGCCATGACGTCGTGCGAACGGCACAACATGGACTGCCAAGATGTTGTCCCGGTAGTACTGGCCTGTAACACGCCCTGCAACAACATGTAAAGCCGTTCTTCCAGCAACAGTGATGCCTCCCCACACCATAACAGAACCACCCCTAAATCGATCATGTCTGATGACGTTAACGTCTTGGAAGCGCTCGTTTCGACGACGCCACACCCTCCTACGTCTGTCCAAAAAATCAACAGTGAACCTTGACTCATCTGAAAACATCACATTGCTCCAGCGTCGATTATCCCAGTGTTGACGATCCCTACACCAACGACGTCTTGCCTGAATGTGATGATCTCTAAAACAAGGGATCACGCGAGGACGTCGGGCGTGAAGGTGACCCCTATGCAGTCGATTCCGAATCGTCTGGCCACTCACTCTCACACCAGTGTCTGTTTGAAGACGAGCGCTGATCTGATTTGCTGTGATGACACGATTTCTCAAGGCCAAGGTACGGATAAATCGATCCTGGGCTTGAGTTGTCGCCCTTGGTCGACCTGAGCGTGGTCTGTCCTGTACAGATTGTGTATCACGGTATCTGGACCATAGCCTGCTTATGACAGACTGAGAAACATTCATCGTCCGCGCCACAACCGCCTGTGTTGTGCCGATCTGTAGCATGCCAAGGGCACGTAACCTTTCATTTTGGGTAAGCCGACGCATATCAAAATTTGTTTTCTGGTCACTAAAACAATTAAACTGATGTTTCCACCCTGGATTTCAATGCCACAATGACTGTAACATTCAAAGTCAGAGTCGTGAAAATCTTGGGTTGGACCCCCATGATGATCCCAAGCATCACCTGCATTCCATGCGGTAACTATTGGTGCGTTTGGGCGTCACATATAACTGGAAATGTTTCTTCTGTTAGGTTCTATAGTGACTTTTTTCGTAGTCATTTGCATATTTTAGTATTATGCCCCCAAAATCAAATATCCCCTACTTTTTTTGAATAGTATATTTCTTCCCCAAAGAAATCTAGATCAAATTGTCTAAACAAATCTACATTTCCTTAATTACCCCTTAAATATTTATACAGATGTTCCATGTCCAAATTATTTCTTACTCATAATATGGTTTGTATCTTTAAATAAACATAACCTATATATAATGTTCAACTGACTTTATTTACCAGCAAATATATAACAATAACATGCTTAGATTACTTAACATTCAGCTATATAAACAAACTCATTCACTGTGAAATGAAATCTGTTACGGATCAGCAAGAACGGATTTAATTAAGAAATATTTCAATACATGTAACTAAAACTACTTACTCATGAATAAACACCCCTAAATTTATCAATTCATTAATAGCTGATATTTCATTTAGTAAATAGTGCAGGTGTATTCATTGACTAAAATACATTTAACTAAAATTACTTGGTTATGAATAAACACCCCTAAATTTATCAATTCATTATTCATATGTACGATTTTTCATGTAGTAATAATGCAGGTGTATTTATTGACTTAAAGGACCTAAGTCCGTAACTCAATATCCTCCAAAATCTTCGACATCGAAAACACGAATTATTGGTCAATTTAAATCAACATTGATGATGTAAACTTACCGGGAAAAGATGAGCTTCTGATATCCGATATTTAAGATAAAATAATTTTTTTAACATTGGTACACGAATCGTGTACCATAATGCGTTTCAGCCCCAGTTGTATTGAGAGACTCGAGGGACGAGGCTAGACACATTGCACCAAATCAAATGGAGTTATGTAGACTAGAATAACTAGACGCTAGAAATTGGCACTCGATTGAGATTGCTGACTTATTTCGCCGAACATAACTGATTTGAAATTGGAGTAAAAACGGAAACCATTAAATGTAAATCAGTTTATATACATTCATATTACAGCATTATATGCATTGCGACCCACTTTTGTGAATTTCTAGGTCCCAAATGTTAGCGATTTAGCTCCTTTAAATATATAATTTTTACATTTATCTATATAATACAATAATGTTAGGGATGTGTGTATCAAATTAGCAGATCATAACCCTAATCAATAATCATCCCTGAAATAATTTGATGATTGATTTTTAATAAAACTTGAATAAAGTAAGCTTAACGATATAACTAGAAGATTTTCTTTAACGAATAAGTAACTAATTTAATACACAAGGGTAGTTTGTAAGGAAGATCACCCTACCCCAGTTTCCAGGAGAATTTTCTTTTCATGTGTTAAAAATGTAAATAAAGACGTTTTTTAAAATTTACCCTTTTGAAATTGGTCACCCCCGCCCCCCCCACCACCTTTCCCTCTCTCAACACCAACAATTTCTGGATCAGCTCTTGGTGCATACTAGGCTATTGAACTGTAAATTAGCCTACATATATACTATACATGTACATTACACTTCAGAAGTTCAATGTTATAACCTTTGTAATGTACCTACATGTATCATCTAACAGGATGTCTCCACCTGTAAACATTCTTACAGTCCAACATTTTATTACAACTTACAAATGTTTGAAAAAGCAAAACTCTACAATAAAACAACTTAAAATGCCTTTTAGAAAGATTTGTAACAGAAATGTTTTGAGGAATGCCAGGCGACCTAGGAAATGGAACACAGGTGTCAAAGGAACATATCTAGAGTAGATTATATTTAATACACTTGACCCCACTAGGAGTAGAAAATCATCATTTTCAAAATGGATTATTCAGATCAATTTCACACTTGTGATAGTGTTCAAGTTTAAAGTTTTTATAAAGTGTCACTGCATTGTATTTGATGTAAAATATATCCATGAAAAACTTTATGGTTAATTTCAGGCGATGAAAAAGTCAAATTAAAGTTTTATTCAATCTCAACTGGATGTATAAAAAGTAGTAAACATAAAACTTTCAAGAGAAAAAAAAAGAGCAAACTATTTTTATGTATAAATAAAATCCTTCGTTTGCAGAAGACAAATAAAATCTTTTGTTTGTATCAGAAATGAATATTTTCAAGCTTATAACATTTTTTTTTTTGTGCGATATATTGGTATACAGATTAGTCAGACAGAGACTTCACAAATAAATTTATTACGTTTATCATAAAACAAGAAAGCAGTATACTTTCCGTTTTGGCCCCTTCACTGAGGTAATATTTTTCGTATTGTTATCTTTTACCGAAGACCTGAGATCTATTTCAAAAACAATGACTGAATAATCTACAATAGACTCTGATCAATGAACAATTTGATAAAGGTCTGGATGTTCATCCTTACCTGTGTACTGAATCTTGAAGCCTGTTTACGATTACGACGTCTTGGCATCGGAGCATTTTGTTTTGGTGGCAGTGGTTTTTCTTCTTCTTCCTTCTTGTTGGCAAATAATTTTACTTTATCTTTTAAACTTAATCTGTAAACACACGAAGAAACATGGGCATTTAAATCATCGTGTTGTTAACCTGCTGTTGATAAATTACAAGTTGTCTTTATCAAACATAATTCCTCAGTCCCGGAGAAATATTTTTATCTAGAGATATATGTACTTAAGCTTTAAACTAAATTAAGGCACAATGTACTCAATGTATTACATGAACTCTAATCATAAAGGTATAAAATACTTTGCTTAAAGATACAGTTTCTCTATAAATTAAATGTAAATGCAATAGTACTCTCCTCTATAAAAGGACATTAGTTAATAATACTATGGTTTTTTTTCTGTTGTCCATGTCAGGAAAAATAGTAATGTGCCTGACAAATACATATCAACAATGAAATTAACAGAAGAAGAGGAGAGATCAACCATATCATTTCTGTTGAAAATTCATTAAATGTTTTTTTTTGTTTTTGCTTGAAAAATTACCATTAAATTATTTGCTTTATAAACTGAGAGTGTCACTTTAAAATAAAATTGTTTGTTTTCTCATCCATGTCAAGGAACAAGAGGACAATTTTCTTTACTAAATAGACTAGCAGGGAAGAAAATTAATCTGAAAGATTTTATAGCGTATTAAAGTTTAGTCTACCAGAACCAAATTATTATTGTTACTCAAATCCCTGACAGAAATTTATTATAAATCAAACAAAACTAACTAGAGATAAGATAAACCTATATCAAAAATTGGAATATTTGCAAATATCTCTCAAATATAACATTAAAAAATGCTTCTTTTAATTTTTGCTTTGGTGTCCTCTATCATCCATTAAATCATGTAGAAAAATCTAACATCAAAATGTTACTAAAACAAAATGGGTGTGTATAGTAAAATATGGGTGTAATTGCTAATATTTCCATCATTAGGCAGAACTTTACACCTGTTTGCAATATTCAACTTTTTCTCAGTTGGAATTATAAATTTGCTTTGTGCAACCAAATAATGAGTCAATATATAATCAAAATTCAGCCTTTTCTGTAATCATGGGTGTAACAGCATGAATACAGTCAAAGTTTCACACATTCAGCTCCCATCTGGTGAAATATGCCAGGATATCAGTCTGTGGTAGTCAAGACATCACAGTATTAACAACACTGATTTTTATGTTATTTGTTATGTGTGAGAATATGGTTCTGGTCATTCAGTCAAATTTTATTCATGTGTGATACAATTTATACTTTAATGCTACAAAGGGGACAAGATTATCAGAAATTTGTTTATGTGTCATAATAGCTTATGTATTACATTACGGCAAATCCTGTTTTTTAAAATGCACAAAAATTCTTACTTTGTGAGATCATCATCTTCAACAGTAGAGTCCTGGGGTTCAACAGATTTAGCACGATTAACAACTTCTGGTACTGGGATGGTTACCGTTTTCTGTTCATCATTATATTCTGCTGCTGTTTTGACTTCTTCTTCAGTAATTGGTTGTGTTAAGTATCTTTCTCGTTTTTTACGATCAATGTATCTTTTAGCTCCACTGGCCGACCCTTTGTACCTTTCCTTGGAAGTTTTCTCATCAATTTGTTTAAAGAATGAGGTCTTTGAGGAAACACTATTTCGCGAAGGATCATCTTCGGCTAAATCCATTTCAAGACTTAAGCTACGCAAACTGTCTGAAGCTGCAGAAAGATTTTCATTATCAGAACCTGACAATATTCCTGAATCTGCCTTCGAATCTTGACGCCCCCTTGCCATAACTTTTGACCTGAGTGTGTCTGACTCCATCATTTCGTTTTCAGGGATACACATTAATTCTGCAGCCGTAACAGGAAGTGTTTGATATCTTTCACCTCTACTTCTACGTTTTTTCTGTGGTTGAAGATGTTCTGGAAATTCAGACTTCTTATTTGCTGGCAACTTTGGTTTCTGTTCCACAAGATGTTCAAACACACTAGTTGAAGCTTTTTTCCTGACCAATGATCGAAATGTGTTTACGGAATCCAAACTGTAGAAGAGAAATAAATGGTTACAAAATCATATGTTTTGACACTGAAGTGCTTTTGGTTTTATTCTTAATTTCAAAATGGGAAAAGTGTAAAATGTACTTCTGACATATAATTAAGTCTGAAAGTTTTCCATCATCTGCTGTATGAATGAGTTCTTATAATGTAATAATTTAGACAGGGCTATTAAAAGATTCATTTTAAAAAGGTCATAATACTTTTAAAAAACAATGGCTGATGTTGCCATGAAATATTCCATGGTAAGACAATTTCCTGGCAAAACTTTTGAGCATATACTAAGAAGCTCTTTGGTTCATTTAAAATGAACTTCCTTTGTGAATAACTAGACATGACCGTAGACTAAATATCTGTAAAATTTGCAGAAGTAGAAGGGTTTTATTCATTTGCATTAATCTTCAAGAGCTGAAAATCTATGTTCGTCAAAATTAGCTGAATCTGAAGGCATACAAATTTTAACTTTTGTTGTGTATCGCCTGAAAATCTATATTTGCCAATTATTCTTTAATAGTGGGCTTATAAACTGGGTAAACAAGTCAACTTCCACAAAACAAAATCAGGTAGAGATTGTCCAGTCACATCGATCAACCCAATTAATTACTCAGTTCTAAACTAAATCAAATAAAAAGATTAATATGACATAATATACCTGTCGGCTTCAGTTATCTCCTCCAATGTAATAGGCTGAGTCCGCCTTCTACTATTGTCACGATCTGGTTTCTGAACTTTTTTGAATTTTCTTTGTGACTCTTCTAATTTCCTTCGTCTTTCCATAATAGTTTCCACCTTTCCATCTTCGGCTAGTGTCGTCAGTCTCTCCATTAAAATCTCACCTGTAAATGTTGGGTCACCATCTTGAGAAAAATCGTCGAAAGACATTTGTTTCCTGGGAGATACGGCACCAGATCTGTGAAAAAAGATGCAGAATGTATATACCGGTATTCTTCAATATTTGAGAGAGATTGGCTAGGTGGAAATGTACAGCAGATGTTTACTAGTACTAGTATGCTTCTTCCAGTTTCAATGATATCAGATGAAGCTCCCGATTTTGAGCAAGACACAACCATATGTTGCTCTGCAGCAGAAAGCATTCAAGGTAACAAAAATTTGGGGGAACATTCGAGTCGGTCACAGAGACATGCTCTGTGGCCAAATGTGAACCAAATGTTAAATAAATTAACCTAAAGAATGGACAAATAGATGTTATAAATTTTCTATGGTGTAACAGTCGAGCCTCATCACACAAGTAATAATCTATCCATACCTTATTCTGAATGGAGATTTGGGTGTTGCAATACCAGAACGAGATCTTGGTGTGGCTGCATATTTTTCTTCTTCTATTTTTGTTTGCATCTTAAAAATTCTCTCGGCGACAGATAACTTGGATTGTTCATCTTCATCCTCATTGTCTTCATTCTCCGGTTTATTCTCCTTTTCTCTCCTTATTAAAAATACAATATTCAAATAAAAAAAATATTTAAAATAGGTATCAGGTAATGCTCATATACAAAGAACCTTAGTTTGAAGGTTCAAACTACAGTTTTTTCCAGAATGACGCCACTTGGTGTGCCAATGGATGGAATGGGGGTTTACAGTCCGACTATTCACACTTTATTAGTCAATGGATGGAATGGGGTTTACAGTCCGACTATTCACACTTTACTCGTCGATGGATGGAATGGGGGTTTACAGTCCGACTATTCACACTTTACTAGTCAACCTCTCAGACACCCACCCTGATTTGAAAAAATGAAATGAAATGAAATGGGGTTTAACGTCCTACTGACCCTGATTTGACAATTGAAGGTCATACTTGAAAAATACGAACGGTTCTTCATAACCCAAGCTGGAATTCAAACATTGGACATTCTTGTCAAGAGTCCCGTGGGTCCTGGTCACTCAACCACCACGACTCGGCCTAAATTTTCAAAATACTTCCCAAAAAAGGGAGATTGGCGCAGTTGGGTTAATATTAATCTGGTTTAAATAATTATTGATTTTTTTACTGGCCCTAATTACTACTACTAGGTCAGTAAAAAATCAGTAATTATTCCCTAATCATATGCAAGAACAAGGTCTGAGTGAAAACTATTTCTACAATCTCACATATCTCTGTCTATAAGTATAGGCTGAAGTTTTCTCATCATTGTAATGTATGATGGGAGTTCTTTCCCTTGTTTAATAAATATAAGTGACAGACATGTTGCTGTTTATTAGTAAATAAATCAACTTTTTAAAAAAAAATATAAGTGAATCATTTTTTATAAACATTTAAAAGTTATAGGCTGTATAATTATATATTTCTTTTAATCAACAATACATCTGCATTGAAAAGAAGAATCCACATTTTTGTTCCTTTTAAACATAGATATGTAGTCGGTCAAATAACTACTTGTGACCTTACATTTTTGGGTCTACAAATGTAAACATATGTAAAATAAATTTTATATTCTGTTTGTGCTTCAAATTGAATCAAACAACCTTCTTTTATTTTTTAAACTGAAAACATTTATGTTGTTTAACACAAGTGGCAAGAAATTCGGAATATATTGAAAAATAGAATTATAGTATTCATTTATAGAGATGGAAAATTTGAAAAACATAGATATTATAATACAATAATTTGCCATAAAATTTGTTAGTTGTTTTTATCATTATTTCGTAAAAATACATCTTTCACAGAACTGACACAGATTCCAGTAATATTTTGTAATCATAGCTAAGGAGGACACCCATGGTTAACTCTTGAACTTGGTTCAATTTTGATCACAACAACAATCAATTCAGCCATGTAATCTTCTATGTGAACAGTGCTATATAATTGTGTGCGAAAGACGGATTTTTTAAAAATAGCAAATCAAAACTGTCTCTGAGCATGATTTTTTAGTATTTTTTTAAAGTCTAGTTGAAGCATACATGTATTTAGGATGATTTCATTATAAATCTAGTTGAAGCATACATATATTTAGGATGATTTCAATGTAAGTTTAGTTGAAGAGTATATATATTTATGTTATAAAATTAATTACACCTGATATACTGATATGACTGCCAACATAGTAATTATAGCAGTCTAATTATAAACAGCTAGACGTCGCTGTATGTTTATTGGCAATAAGATTATATCAAATAGTCAGTAGCAGTAGGTAATAGAGATACTTATCACACACCTATAGTACCAGTTGCATGACATAAGCTAACATAATATAATATTTACAAATTCCTCTTAATATGCATATACATAAATTGATGGGTCAGCAATAGCATGCAATAGCATATAAAACTTTGGGCAATATTTTTCGAAGCGCTTAAAAATCACTCAAATACCGGTACATGTAGATTAAATGTATGCAATGTTCATAGGCCAGTTGACTAAAAACACATATTTTTTGGATTAAACAAAAGTAATTAATCTACTTTTTGAAATTAATAACAATTTTTATTTTCTTTTGAAGTTTATATTTTTTAGATTCAACAAATGTATAGTCTTAATTAATTTACTTTTTTTAAATTAAGGACTTTAAAATCCAAAAAATCTCTATGCAGCTGTTAAACATATTTTTAAATTGCCTCTTTTTGCTCATCAGATAATTAATCAAAAACTAAAAGAAATTTGAATGCAGATTAAAACTGAAAGTGACTTGAATTCAAAAAGTTGCTCGATCAACTTGCAAATGACTGATTCAATTAACAATAGGTTTTTTTTTTCTAGAACTGTGAGTTCTACTAACCTCATTGTTTCAAGAATTTCATCTGTAACAGATAATCGTCTACTGGGTGGTTTTTCTTCTTCCTCTTTCTTAGCGTCTACTTCAATTGTCAGTCGACGTTGTTCCAGAATCTTGGCTAACTGCTTGTCAACAATTGGTCCTGAAGGCTGCTTTGGAAGTGAAGGAGTCCTTTTCAAAATTCCCTTTCGTCTCTCAAAAGATTCTGTTCGCTTGACACCAGAAGTTTTTAAAGATTCAGATCTATTTAAAGGTTTCGATACCCGTGATCCACCTGTTTCATCCGTGGAGGTTTCACTTAATTCAATTCCACTAGAGGTGAGAATTGTACTTTCACTTACATCCAAATATCTACCAGATGACACACTGAGTAGATCTTTTCTTTTGACAATATCTGAATGAAGCGAATCTGTATCACTTTGTAAACAAGTAGAGCTGGCAATGTCCCCAGTTTTAGTGTACACATCCACATTTTCTGCACAGATATTCTTAATCACTTCACCTAAATTAGTGTTTGTTTTATGAGTAGAAGCAGTGGAGTGTGACTTCACAAGGTCAACAGCACCATTCCTTTCATTATGTTCAACTTGATTCTTGTTGTTGTTGGTTTTATTAGAACTGGCCATTGTTGATCTCTCACTTATTACATCACGTCTGCTACTATCAATTACATTTCTGCTAGAATTTGAAGAGGATGAAATCCTGTCCTTTTTAGGATCATGTAATTTGGCATCATCTTCTTTAGCACTAATAGTTTGATCGTTATGTATAATTAGTGGCGGAGTAGAAGTTTTAGAAGTAATCGCACTACTTATTACATCATCAGTCGAAGATTCATCTAATGTAACATTACGTACTTCTAACGTTTGCGTCAGTTCAAGTTGGCCATATGGTGCACCTATGATGTGAAGAGGTCTTGGTTCAGTCATTTTTGTTTCAAAGGTCATACTAGTATTAACTGGGGTTGTTTCAGAATGATTATTAATTTTATGCAAACTATCGTGAGATTTTGAGATGGATTTTGATATGCGAGTGGATATGGACGTTTCTACATCTTTGATATATTGCACAGCATCTGATAATGATGCAGAACTTGAACAGCGTTTTTCTGGGGAAATGCGGCCTAAATCAGGTGATATGTAGCCTTTTGATATAGTAGATTCAGGTTTATCCAATTCTTCAGTGACTCGAGACAATTCTGCCAAACTTGAGTCTATTTTATACAATTTACTTTTAGAATTTGCTATATTGTCCGATATAAAGGTATCACTTTGAGCCTGAGATGAAGAAATGATATGTGAAGATGGTTTGGGATCAGTGTCTGATTTTGATAAACTTTCAACGATAGAGTCTGTTTCTTTACGACGTGATTTTAAAACTGCTGAGAGTTCCTTATCAACAATAGTCTCTTCCAAAGTAGTCACAATCGTTTTTGTTTTATCTAAATTATCATACTTATTTTCAACTTTGGTATTATTTTCAGTCTTGTCACTGCGAGACTGTAAAACAGAGGAAAGTTCCTCAGATGGTTTATCAGTTGCCTCTGATTGAAATCTCTTGCTCATGAAACTAGATTTAAAACTTGATGATCTTTGAACTGGAGATGATTCGTCTTTCTCCTTCACTGTCCGGAGTTTAAAACTTTGGGTCCTTTCTGGAGTCTGGCGTTCTGTATTTGACTCATCACTACTGCTAATACTAACAGAACGAGCTTGTCGATTACGGCTCAACCCAGATCTAGAATTGAAATCTTGCTCTGACCTTTCTGAACTCGATAGCTCTGAGCTGGAGAATTTTTGCAGTAGTTGAGAGAAGTCATTGCCTCTCTTGATAGGTTTGCTGTTAACACCCGATTCATCCACTGTTGATTTACTACCATATGATGTCTGTAAGACAGGAAAAAGAAAAATTTAGAAATATTCGGTTTAGATTTAGATTAAAAAAAATTAATTATGATCTAAATGTTTGCTATTTCTGAAGATGCATCAGTAGCAACTCAAAACGAGATAATGTGTGTTGATTTATCTTCCAAATCTGGGACCCATTTCAAAAATTGTACGTCAAGTTACATATACTTGTAGGTTTATTAAGTGGTATAAATATGTTTGATTTAAGAGAATGCAAGATCTAATGAGCTTTGAGAAAAAGAACCAAGTTTATAATCTTAGGATGGGAGATGTGGAAATGGAAAAACAATTATTCTGTGACTTATGTGTTAATTGTTTCTTGCAGTAACAAAGATCGGTTGCCAGAGAACGAAACATAAGCCCACAGCAGCTAAATCAAGGGTTGTCACATATTTATGCTTTACAAAACACTGATATCCATTTCATACGGATCGATTGTTCACAAGATTCAACAAAGTGAAACAAGGGCCATAAAATGCATAAATTCATTCAATAGGCTTTTTTGTTATACTAATCTCAATCATGCATTTAAATTTAAGGTTCAACGAAGTGAAACAACAGCCATAACTCTAGAAGTAATTAACAGAAATTGCTGAAATTCAATAGGCTTCTTCGTTTCACTAAATTAAATAATGCCTATAAATTTCATACAGATCAGATGATAACTTTTGTCATTAGAGCGTTCAAAAAGGCCATAACTTCTGAAGAAATTAACGGAAATTATTGAAATTAAATAGGCGTCTTCATCTCACTAAAGTTAACAACATATATCAATTTTAAAACAATCGGATGATAAATGTAGTCTGTTGAGTGTTCTGTGGGCGTATAAAAATGGTTTGCTTGGGGTTTGGGAAAGTGGTGTTTGATGGAGAGATTAGGATTGCCAAATTTTGAAATCTTTCTGAAAATTCCTAACATCATTATAACAGAGATGCTTTATGATCACATGAAGGGAGGAAAAGATGGTGTATACCCGCAAAGGCGCAGTTACAGAGAATGACCAAAATGAATCCTTCCCGCGAAGGCGCAGATATCGATGTGTCGGCTTTCGTTTGAAGAGAGACATGTTGTTATTAGGACCCAATTAACGGTGTTAAAGATTTTATGAATTTATGTTCACTCTGAATTTTATTCACCAATTGACAACTAATGATGAATATCATCAAATCACCCAAGTAGTTTTATTATGTCTTGCTGCATAGGCCCTCAATTTCTCTTATTTGAGTAGATGTGGAACGTTTTGACCACTGTGGTCGCCACATTCGTATTTGTTATCAAATTTATTTACCAATTCTATTTTACTTGCAGGTTGAAGATGCATACCTTCACATTGTAGCAGAAATGCCAGCCAATCCAAAAATAACAGAATTGGCCGATTATGTTACAAATCAATGGTTCGAGGGAGAATTTTCAACTCACCAGTGGAACCACTACGAGACAGAGGAGCACAGAAGGGTTAATACAGCAGCAGTGCTGTTTTACAACTGAAAATGCCCTACAAATTAATGATGAATTTTAAAAGGTACATGGACATGATTAACACCTCAATTATCAGAAAGGCAAGTATCTATTTTCCTTCCCGGTATCTAAATTTAACAAAAATAAAGACTGTTCCCCTGATAGTAATTTTGAGGATTAAAACAAAACACTGTTAAATACTGTTGTGAGATCGACACTTATGATGTAAATGTATTATCCTTCAGGTGTTCAAAAGGAATAGTGACACCAGCACAAAATCAACAGAAAGTAATGCCACTTTGGATGGCAATAATTTCCATTATGATTTTATTGGTATTTAGTAAGTTTTAGAAGTGCAAATCATGCAACAAGCAAATTCTTATTAGTAGTGAAACTAAATGGTCCATTTTCATACATGATCATAAATCAGCCCCTGAAATTATTTTTTTTATAGACAAACCTTAGAGCCAAATCTATCTGGAAGTACAGAATGGGATGTTTTAAGAGGAACCTGTGCTGTTGACATGGAGGTGGGTTTAAATGTAGGTAGAAGTTTTACGACTGTCGATTTGGTTTGTATAGATGATGTCTTTCTTTCTTCATCTGCTGTCTTCTACACAAATATAAATATGGTTTTAATGGGTTAGTATCACAGCAAACACAAAATTCACATACCAAAATGCATATAGTTTTAACATGTTTTATCACTTTCAGCATGAAAGCACTATTATGCCTCTGTAAAATGATTAACAGACAAAACTGAATCTTACCGGTACCAGTAATTGTCATGTGTTTTTGGTAATTAATGCAAAATTATATGGTTGAGACAGAATTGGGTGAGAGCAAGCTTTACATCATAATGCAGCCATTTTCATGCCAAAAAGAACAAAAACAATCCTTACTATCTTGTTTGTTAAAATCGGTAGGCCTATAAGTTTCATTTTAATGAACTACCTGTCTTGTCATTGTCAGGCACAAATTACGACTTTGTCCAGAATAAAGTTCAAAACCTCAGGCACTAATTCGTTATTGAATAATTTCTGTCGGGTACAACTCATATCATTATTTGAAGGCCTGTTTTCAACTTAATGTCTCTTATTGAGATAGAAAAAAAAAAGAAAGTATGTGTTGACAAAGCAAGCTGTGGTGTAAAACCTATAATGATTAATCTGAGGTCAACGATACCAGGTGATATTTAATTGATTAAATGCATGTTAGATGAGACACCTATCTATTCTATGTAAAGTTAAATAAACAACGTACATGCACATTGTTTGATGACAAAATACACATCTTTGGGTTGACTAGTGCATGATGGGTGGATATATTATAGTAAGTAATTGAAATAATATGGTATGTTATAATAAAATAACACTCAGAACATGCTTTAAGTAGGGGTGTAATGCACAAATTTGTTGTGCCATATTTTTTTTTTTCCTGCTCTTGTGGCTAGACAACTAATACCAATTATTTAAATGATCTCAAATAAAGGCAGTGGCAAGGAGTGATGGGTATTGTGTTCAAGGGAGAGTATACATACTGTACTTACACCAGATATTGCACTACTTTTCTGCACCAAACGTGGTAACGAAGACAGACAAACACATTGCTTTGAGAGAAAATTTTGCCCGGAAAGCAGCATTAATGCCTACTTTTCTTTGAATTGCAAGGGCTCTTTTAGTGCATGCCAATGAGCTAGTGTGTGAACACCCACTTAATAACTAACCAGGTCCATACCGTGAATGTTACCAAAGAAAACTTCTAAAGTCATTTGCATACAGGACAATTAAGGTTACTTAGTTAAATTGTTTTGCCAAATCAAAAATAAATTCTTACTGATTCTGAAGTTCCTTTATGTATATCATGGCTTTCACCTGCCTTCTGACCTGAAATTATAACAAAATTCATCCATTAAATATTTTGTTAAAAAAAAAAATCTGTGCTGAGCAAATATAAATGACAGAATGTTGTTCATTAATCAATAACTTAAATAAAATTCTTACCCGGTTGAAGAAATATATGTGTGTATGATGAAATATAAATGTGTGTTGCCATTGTAACTCCAGGTAAGTTTTTAGTCTTCATACAATATATAGTACATCCAGTAGTATATTATGATATCTAGTATATAGATATATAGCTGGTATGTTTAAAACAATACAGGTGTTCTCACATCATCTACACTCTTATTGATTATAATCAACAGGTGGTTATTTTACAATATTCCATGACCCCAAAGGTTAAATTATAAACTATTTTGTTCACTGACGATAATAACCCTTTCACAATAAAAATATCTTAATTTATCACTAATTGTTCTGGTTATAACACAAATATTTTTTTCTAATCTTATAATAAACTGCCAATCCATGTCCCAATGATTTGGGTACTTTCAACTAGATTCATATGGATTTTTGTATTTTCACAAATTCATCACTTGACAATTCATTAATGTGAGTTTCATGATTGCAGATTTTAATTCTGAATTCTCTACAAAACATAATACTTTACAACCTAGTATAAGATTACAGTTTAAAATATTCTTGACTTCTATACCCACACAATACCTAAATCTATGAAGTAAATTCTTATAAATCACATCTTTAAAGATCCCCAATTGATATATTATTCACACATATTTAGTCCAATTCATAAAATTTTAAGCACACCACTGTATACCTTTCAAAAACATCTATAAATCTAACTGGAGAAAAAAAGTTAGCTTTGCATATCCAGTTATATTATTATTTTAACAATACGTGCAAAGACCAACAATATATATCCAACAAATGATAAAATAGTCCACAACAGTCCAACATTGCACAAAACTAGATAGTTGAAAATTGTTTGTCTAAGGTTGTTAACTAAACCAATCCTTTAAAACACAATCACACTGTGCTAATCCTTTAAATTTTGATTAGGTTCTTCCTTATATCAAATAAACAATTCCAGCTTTAAAGAAAAAATAATAATAATAAATCAAAAATATAAAGCTCTTATTTGTTTTCTAGCTGTGACATTGACAGTGGCATAAATATAGTATCTCTTAATAATAATTGACATGTGATCTGAATTATTAATATATAATATCCTTGCGATTTAGGAACAATCCCAGTATCTTGAACAAAACGTCAACAACTCTGTATCTATAAGGATTGCACTTTGCAAAATATTAACCCATAAATCTGCATTTTAGTAGGGTTCTAGGTTGACTTATGAAAATCATTATTTCAAACATTACCCAGCAAGGAATTTGTGTAAGTAATTTACATAACTCAGGATTACTTGATCAAATTTGAAGGTACAGAACAGTATATGTTAAGCACAATAGCATTCTAATTTCATAGCATGTATATATAATTAATATTAATGGACAACACTGGAAAACTGCACAACAAAACAACACCCGAACAAAAAATGTATAATTTGTACATCACCTTATGTATAGAGAGGACAAAACCACTTAACCAGAGAAATATAGTGAAAACCAAAATATGTGTAACACAGAAATCTATTTTAAAAACTAAAAGACAATATTTTACACATTTTATACAACCTGTTGCCTATAAAGTTGACTAGTACCATATATCTAATACCTCATAACTCAAAGTGATATACTGATTCAGATGTTATAGACATGATTCAACTAGTCACATCCTCATCACATCGTATTATAACATAAAAGCTGAATTAATTCCACACAAATCTCTGAATAAAATTCCAAACTCTTGTCATTCTTGTGGTCAGAAATCCATTAAATTAACAACTAGGTGTTGAATGACTGAATGTCAATACTAGACATGATGGCAGCAACCTGTTAATCCAGTGAGAGAACTGCGTGTCATCAGGTAGTAAGGCCAGGTAGTGAGTGGATCAATACACACACGATCTGATTTTAACCTCGTTTCATTATAAAGAAGAAGACGGCTGATAAATGTGGGTAGGGCATACTGTAATGTCTCCATCTTCTCTAGAATGTCAACACAAATTGAGCAGGGTGACCTGCGTATTGGGGATATGATGACCATTTAATTAAAGGCATAGCATCCATATATATTTCAAAGGCCAAAATATGTACTATCCTAAAAGACTGATGTTACAATGTGATTAAGCACATACAAGTTCTATTCTTTAATGGGTTCACAATCTTCAAAAATAAGAATGTAACATCCAGGGCAATTATATTATTCCTGGACAGGAATATTCTTGAGTTTTTCCTTATGCCCCAAGAACAATTCCACTAATTTTTAATAATTTTCATTCAGAACTACTCTTCCCTGTAGAATGTTCACAAGCTTTAGTCTAAATGTGAACCAAAAGATATCCATGTAAAACATATTCAAAATGTACAAATGAGTTTTGAAATTCAATTTTATGCTGCACAGGAATTGATAGATGTACAAGTATATATCTAAGAACACAAAATACATGTAACAATAGAAATTCTACATCAAATAAATACTATCAGACCATAAACTACTCATCTAGTTCGAATACCAATCACTGAATTAGGATAAAACACATGAACTACTGACAGATATTTATAATATATATATTTATATAATATACATATATAAGTTTAATATCTATTCTCATGTTGGTATTTTCCTTCTGGCTGTCACAAGGTTCTCCCAGCCATAAAATAATACGCCAAATAGATTCATTTAATTCAAATCTTTCACTTCATTGATTAAAAAAAACCCACTAATCTACAAATCACTACAAGTCATTGATTTATGAATAAAAAGGTCAAAACTCAGTATACAATATGACCACAACTTCATTACAGAAAATTTATTTCAAATTACGAAAACTGAACAAATTCATCAGGGTGTGGTTGCTGAAGAATACTTAGCCAAGTTGACATACTTTTCCAAAAAAAAAAACCAAACCAGATAACAGTTCTCATTTAAAAAATCTCTTTAGAGAAACACCTATACTAAGAAATCACAATATTATGTACAGTCTAGCCATAAACAAAAATGATTTGAGTTCAATTGATTCTGGATAGATAATCTATTATCATCATTCCTGACAACATCATAAATACACATTAAGTAAGTGATCCATTTCAACATCTTGCAATAAAGCTTTCTGCATTTTGTCTTAAACTATGCAAATTCATCTTTTTGTCACAACTGTCCTTTACAATGACATGAATGACACATTCTCACAGACTGTTATAACAGCTAATTGAAATTTCCTGTTTTTCACCTGCCTTGTGGCTAAACTATGTCTGATCTCTTAACAAACACAACATTGTTAATGTTAGACACAACACCCAAATTGTTTTACACTTTGTAACTTCACTATTCTCAATTTACAAAAATCCAGATTTTGTTGTGCCTTAATATGCATTCAAATGAATTTAAAATCGAATGAATAAAAATAGATATTAATTCTGAAACTTGAATATCTAACCAGATCCCTTAATGTGTCACATTTTACAAAGTTCATTGTTTATATAGTAGTCTTATAGATTAGGATTTATCTCCAGTTTACTAAGAATATATACTAAATATATCCATATAAGTAAAAAGTTGATAAGACCCACTTGCCTTCTCCCCTTCATATCCACTAAAATAAGGTCAAGTTACATGGTGGACCTTTCACAGATATTTTAAAGCCAAAATCAATCAAAAAACACTTGAAATCAATATTAATATGAAAGCTAATTTAAATTGCTGAGGAAATAATATTTCACAAATTATTTTTAAAGTGTTTCGGGACTAACACAGTAATTTTGGTAGAATATGTACCACAATTCCTCGTTTACATGTATAATCCCATATAAATTACTCTATTAAAGATGAGAATGAAGATTAAGACCTTATAATTCAGAGTTCATGGTCTCAAAGCCCATTTATAAGCAGACAAACACAATATGCACAACCAACGATAGTCTGTGGACAAAATGTCCCTTTAATATCAATGTCACACTCCTAGGAGAAGACAATAAAAGTTCTTGATGCATGCATAATTAGTTAAAACAACAGGTATATTTTACATGTTGCGGTGAAGAAAAAAGAGAACATGTATTTACATGTTAGCTCCATGGGAATAAAGAAATTAATTAGCTGTATAGTATACACCAGTACATAGCGATACACATCAATGTTAATTAATTAATCATAAATTTGAGAAAATTAATTACTTTCTTATTATCATAGAATTGGTCACGACAGACATTATCATTTGCATTGTAGAAATAACTGTTTGGAATGTTAACGATTATGCGGAAGATGTTGATGATATGAATGATGATTATAGTAATAATGCTCCTGCTGCATGATATGAATGCTGCTGCTCGAAGTGAATGATAATTATAATCATTATGTTGCTGCATGATGTGAATAATGAGACCCCCTAAATACCTATGTTAATATATGAGAGCTTTAAACTGGACCCACAATGCCAATTACCTTAGGTAACATATGATGCTACCCCACCCTACATGTGATGATATAAGTGTCATGAGGTGTATGTATATACATGTATATATATTGGTCATTAATGCAGTACTTGTATGTTATATTTCTTTTCTTTTTTTAAAACATATCTAAGTGTCTCATTTCATTTTTCCTCAAAGCAATTCATGTAACACAACCATTCAAATATTATCTTTCTCACTTACATTCTATATCTCTCCACCTAGTGACACAAAACCTTCAAGAAATTATGTGAACAAAAATAGAAGTTTATAATCCTTCTTGATTGTCTTAATGGAAGCCGTAGACAAAAACACAAAAATAGATCTAATTATTTTGTCTTACATGGAGAATACATCAGTGCAATCTGTTTTACAAGAATACCAGCATGTAATTGCATATAACATACTGTCAATTCAAGTAGATTATGGAGAGATTTAGCTGACCTCAACATGGAA